TTGGTTTCCATTTGCCGTCAAAGTGCTTTTGCTGCACTGAGGCTTCTGAGGAGTCTATTGAGCATTTATTCTCCAATGGACACATTGCATCATTACTTTGGAATTATTTTGGAGGGTTATGTGGAATAAAATTCTCAGGATCTTTTCTACGAGCACGCATAGTAGATTGGTGGTTGTTTTCACAGGATTCTGAGTTACGAAGGCTTATTTGTCGTATTCTTCCTAGTGTAATTTGCTGGCAGATTTGGAAGGCAAGGAACAAAGCAATGTTTGAGGGTGTCCAGATGCAATCATCAGCCATTCGCCAAGCCATCTTCTCAGAAGTCCAATCCATGGTAGGAATACATTTTAAACAACTGATAAGACTACAATCTTTTTGTCAATTGTATGATTGGTCAAATGCACCTGGAGGTACAGTTGTATATCAAGGTATCCGCTGGGAAACCAAAGAGACAGGGAGGTATACTCTTAACACGGATGGATGTGCTAAGGGTAATCCAGGAATAGGTGGAGGTGGGGGCATACTCCGGGATTCCACTGGATTGCCAATGATTGGTTTTTCGGCATATCTGGGAGAAACTACATGTCTCCGTGCAGAGGCTTGTGCTCTTCTTATTGGTCTTCAGATCTGTATACATAAGGGTTTTGGAAACATATGTGTACAATCAGATTCATTGGTTTTAATTGGGATCATTCAACGTCGTACTCAATGTCCGTGGAAAATTCGAAGATACGTCAACCAGATTTGGCAGTTATTAGATGATCCATCTAGATTCACGCACTGCTATCGGGAGGCTAACACAGTTGCTGATGCTTTATCTAATGTGGGTATATCTCATCCAGATAAACAAATTGAGATTTATGACACCTTCAGTACATTTCCAAGGTTGCCTCGTGGGGCAATCCGTTTGGACAGAATAGGGATACCTTCAATTAGAAAAATGAGGATTATGTAAGAGGAATATTTTGTTATATTTTCCATGAATAAATAAATAAAAAAAAAATTTGATAAAAAAAAAAAAAAAATCAATGCAAAATTATATTTATAGGTAAGAAAGTTATAGAATTTATCAAAAAATTAAGCTTGTGAGCTTGATTGAGTTTGATTAGCTCATGTTCAAGAATGATAAAATAATTTCAAACTCAAGGTTGATCTGTAACGTGTTTACTCAAGTAATGACTCGACTTGATAGCAATCCTAGTTTTAGTATTGGAGTCGAGTATTTTGCAGGATTTTTCTTTGATATTATTTTTGTTCATTATATATAAAAAAAAACTTATTTTTTAAAAAAAAAAAAGAATATATATATATATATATTCAATGTTTTCAATTCCAAAGCAATTGCCATTGAATTTTGTGTTAATTAGAAACTTCCTATCACTTACAAGATCTTAATATTGAACTTTTCAATAATTAACCTTAGGCTTACACTTACAACGCATTGATTGAACATAAACATATATATATATATTCAATGTTTTCAATTCCTAAGCAATTGCCATTGAACTTTGTGTTAATTAGAAACTTCCTATCACTTACAAGATCTTAATATTGAACTTTTCAATAATTAACCTTAGACTTACACTTACAATGCATTGATTGAACATAAACATATATATATATATATATATATTCAATGTTTTCAATTCCTAAGCAATTGCCATTGAACTTTGTGTTAATTAGAAACTTCCTATCACTTACAAGATCTTAATATTGAACTTTTCAATAATTAACCTTAGACTTACACTTACAATGCATTGATTGAACATAAACATATATATATATATATATATATTCAATGTTTTCAATTCCTAAGCAATTGCCATTGAACTTTGTGTTAATTAGAAACTTCCTATCACTTACAAGATCTTAATATTGAACTTTTCAATAATTAACCTTAGACTTACACTTACAATGCATTGATTGAACATAAACATATATATATATATATATATATTCAATGTTTTCAATTCCTAAGCAATTGCCATTGAACTTTGTGTTAATTAGAAACTTCCTATCACTTACAAGATCTTAATATTGAACTTTTCAATAATTAACCTTAGACTTACACTTACAATGCATTGATTGAACATAAACATATATATATATATATATATATATATTCAATGTTTTCAATTCCTAAGCAATTGCCATTGAACTTTGTATTAATTAGAAACTTCCTATCACTTACAAGATCTTAATATGGAGATAACACAAAGATGCCTTTCACTGCATTTTTACCATCTAGAATGTGAATTATCATATGATCTCCATGTGTCATGCCAAGATCGCCCGCTTCTGCTTCTTTCAAACGAATTGGAAAAATTAGATTGCCTCCCAGACCAGTGCCCTCTATCATATGGAGAACTGTAAGAATTCCTAATTTCCTATCACTTACAAGATCTTAATATTGAACTTTTCAATAATTAACCTTAGGCTTACACTTACAACGCATTGATTGAACATAAACATATATATATATATATATATTCAATGTTTTCAATTTTCCTAAGCAATTGCCATTGAACTTTGTGTTAACGTATTGATCGGTTTGATCGATTTGATCGTGCTTGATCGGTTCGATCGTGTCTCCTTTTCACTGTGAAGGATAATCTAAAATTGTGACTAAACCGATTAAATTCGATCAAAGACTATATACAGTGTAATATAACAACTAAAAATATAAAAATAATTAAAAATTCAAGAGAAGCTAACAAAAAACATTCTTTTAATCAAAATGTTTTCGCTTACTCAATTTATTTTATGCTGCTAGCAATTATGTATGGCTTGTAGTCTAACAAGCCATTGGAAGGATCGAATTAGTTTATGAAACAAGAAAATTAACTTGTGAATACATGAAGTTTCCATTGACAAACATTGGGATTAGAATTGATTGAACATAAACATTGAATATATATATATATATATATTCAATGTTTTCAATTCCAAAGCAATTGCCATTGAATTTTGTGTTAATTAGAAACTTCCTATCACTTACAAGATCTTAATATTGAACTTTTCAATAATTAACCTTAGGCTTACACTTACAACGCATTGATTGAACATAAACATATATATATATATTCAATGTTTTCAATTCCTAAGCAATTGCCATTGAACTTTGTGTTAATTAGAAACTTCCTATCACTTACAAGATCTTAATATTGAACTTTTCAATAATTAACCTTAGACTTACACTTACAATGCATTGATTGAACATAAACATATATATATATATATATATATTCAATGTTTTCAATTCCTAAGCAATTGCCATTGAACTTTGTGTTAATTAGAAACTTCCTATCACTTACAAGATCTTAATATTGAACTTTTCAATAATTAACCTTAGACTTACACTTACAATGCATTGATTGAACATAAACATATATATATATATATATATATTCAATGTTTTCAATTCCTAAGCAATTGCCATTGAACTTTGTGTTAATTAGAAACTTCCTATCACTTACAAGATCTTAATATTGAACTTTTCAATAATTAACCTTAGACTTACACTTACAATGCATTGATTGAACATAAACATATATATATATATATATATATATTCAATGTTTTCAATTCCTAAGCAATTGCCATTGAACTTTGTATTAATTAGAAACTTCCTATCACTTACAAGATCTTAATATTGAACTTTTCAATAATTAACCTTAGACTTACACTTACAATGCATTGATTGAACATAAACATCTATATATATATATATATATATATATATTCAATGTTTTCAATTCCTAAGCAATTGCCATTGAACTTTGTATTAATTAGAAACTTCCTATCACTTACAAGATCTTAATATAGAGATAACACAAAGATGCCTTTCACTGCATTTTTACCATCTAGAATGTGAATTATCATATGATCTCCATGTGTCATGCCAAGATCGCCCGCTTCTGCTTCTTTCAAACGAACTGGAAAAATTAGATTGCCTCCCACACCAGTGCCCTCTATCATATGGAGAACTGTAAGAATTCCTAATTTCCTATCACTTACAAGATCTTAATATTGAACTTTTCAATAATTAACCTTAGGCTTACACTTACAACGCATTGATTGAACATAAACATATATATATATATATATATATTCAATGTTTTCAATTTTCCTAAGCAATTGCCATTGAACTTTGTGTTAACGTATTGATCGGTTTGATCGATTTGATCGTGCTTGATCGGTTCGATCGTGTCTCCTTTTCACTGTGAAGGATAATCTAAAATTGTGACTAAACCGATTAAATTCGATCAAAGATCAGTTGGACTAGAAAGCTCTATCGGAATTAACTTTTTGTATTGTTATTGGTTTAAAAAATAATTTTTTCATGGTATTAAAAAATTATTTAAGAAATTTATAGATTAAAGTTTCAAAATATTTCTATTGATAAAAAATTAGACCTTGGGTTATTGGGAAAAAGAATTGGCCATAATATAATGATTCACAAATGTAATATTACAGCTTACAATTAATGGAATTGCTTATAAAATAATGACCAGTATTTATGCAGCCCATTGGGCTCTTAAAATGAGTAATGGGTTCCTTGGAAAGTTGGATAGTTTTATGTTTGGTCTGAAATGATTTGCACATTCCGTACGTTGCCAATTGTTCTCCCCAAACCATAGGAGTATCAATGAAAGAAAGTCCACTTCTGTAAGCAAAACTAATCACAATACAAAGCCAAAACACTTACTGAACTAACACCTTACATGGGAAACAATGAAACAATGTCCAGGTCCAAATTTCATCTGTTCCTATGGAAGATAAATTCTAACGTTTAACTTTCAAAGAACAATACAAGACCAACGAAACATAGGCAACTAATTGGCGCTGACCTTCAAAAAATTTTAAAAATAATACCAACTGTTATAACTAAGTTGTACTCCCTGAATTGCAAATTGAAATAAATGATAGCCACTAGTAGACCCCTAGCAATTGAAACAGAGAAGAATAGGGCCAGCAAGCTTAGCAACTATAAAAGATACTAAATCAGATTATATTGGGATAAATCAACTTCAATCCCGAGTCCATCCTCACGAACCCAACTAATTTCCTCATTTTCATTCTCAACAACAGGATTGCCAACATCACTTTGCAAATATGTCTCAACATCCATGATTGTCCCCATGTTATATCCAGCTCTTGCAGTGGTAGAGATAACAACTTGCCAATCCTTATCAGTTGGATCTGCCACATAAAAAACCTGTGATGCTTGTGAAGCGAGTATAAATGGCTCAACATGAGGCCTCACGTTTGCAAAATTGACTAAAGTAAACCCATCAGCATCTTGTTTCATTCTCGAACCATTTGATATCCAATCACATTCGAATAACACCACCCGATGACCTCCGTAAATTAATTCAATCATATTTTTCAAGACGCCGAAGTAAACTAGTTCACTCAAAACTGGATTTTGATCCCTTATACTTGCAAAACTGGATGTTGTTGCATTGACTGTAACACCACTATTCTGCGTTTTTCTTTTCTTCTCAACTTCTTTGGTGTGAAACCGAAATCCATTAACAACAAACCTGTCATGTTGGATTCCAACAACATCTGGACCTTTAGCAAGGAACCTCAACTCTCTCAACACCGAAACATTTTGAGGAAGTTCTAACTTGTCAATCTGTAAAAAAAAAAAAAGTAAATAAATAAAAAAAAAGAAGATGAAACTATATTTGAAGTCCTACAACTCAAATTGTACTTAATATTTAGAATTTTACTTACATTTTCAGCAAACCAACATGCAAAATTTTCGCTGTGCAAGCGCTCTTTTAGATGCTGTGGAATTTGAGGATGTCCTTCTTCTATCAATATACGATGCTGCCTAGAAGTACATGAGTCAAAATTGTAATCATGCATTGAATTCTACAATAAAATTTTAATGCATCAAGTTGTAGTTGAACTCACTCTATGTAAGGTGTGACAGCATCACAATTAAATAAAATATACTGATGTGCTTTACTCAAGATATGAGCATCAAAGACTATTGGCTTGCCCCTCCCCAAAGGATGTCCTGATTCAGAGAATATATCTAAACCATCTTCAATTTCCTTATGTACTTCTTCATTTCATGCTTGGACGATTGAATTTTGTCTCAACATAGTCCGCAAGATACAATGAGCAAAAGTTAATGCATTCTTCTGCCAAGTAGCCTTGAGCAATCGAACCTTCAGGCCTACTTTTATTTCGAACATAAGATTTTAATGTTCCTAAGTACCTAAAGTATCATCATTCCAACCTCTCTAATTAGTTCCACAAATCAAAGAAAGCAAAAAAGGAATAAACATTTAAGGCATAATGAGAATTACAAGCAGTACCTCTCTATAGGATACATCCAACGATAATACACCGGGCCACCTAATTTCACTTCAGTTGCCAAATGAACAGCTAAATGCACCATGACATCGAAGAAGGTTGGTGGGAAGCATTTCTCAAGATCGCAGAGTATGACGGCAATTTCACTTTCCAAACGAACCACATCTTGAGGACAAATAACTTTAGAACAAAGCTGCCTGAAATATCTACTCAATCGAATCAAAGGATAGCGCACTGATTTTGGCAAAGTCTTTCTCAAAGCTATAGGCATCAATTGCTGCATTAGGATATGATTATCATGACTTTTAAGCCCTGAAATTCTTGGTGGTTTTACTCGAACGCATCTTGAGACATTAGCTGCATAACCATCTGGAACTTTCACTTTTTTTAGCACATTGCAAAACATAGTTTTCTGTTTTTTATCCATTGCAAAGGAAGATGGAGGTAAGTACACCTTTCCAGGTTCTGTCTCAATGGGATGCAGCTCTTTTCTTATTCCCATTTCTCTCAAATCACGGCGGGAATTATAATGGTCCTTTGCTTTATCCTCAATATCCAGCAATGTCCCCCAAATATTTTCACAAACATTCTTCTCAATGTGCATGAAGTCAAGATTGTGTCTTAAGACATTATCTTTCCAATATGGCAAGTCAAAGAAAATACTCCTCTTTTTCCAATTGAAAGGCAGCTTCGGATTACCTTTCACAAGTTTTCCAAATTTAATTTGCAAGTCTCCCAATTCACTCACAATCATATCCCCGGTTTGCAAAGGTGGTCGCTTTCCATGTTCTTCGGTGCCATCAAAGAATTGGGCTTGCTTTCTAAATTTATGCTTACTATCTAAGAATCTCCGATGACCCATATAGCAATATTTGAAACTATGAGTCAACCGTCGTGCATGAGTGAACTTGTGACAAACAGGACAAGCATATTCACCTTTAGTGCTCCAGCCAGATAACATTGCATATCCAGGGAAATCACTAATGGTCCACAACAGAGCTGCATGCAATTGAAAATTTTCTTTTTGGGATGCATCATAAGTTTGAATGCCAAAATCCCACAATTCGGTCAATTCTTTAACTAGAGGCTGTAGATAAACATCAATATTATTCCCAGGAGAGGATGGTCCGGGTATTAACAAGGACAACATGAAGTACGGTTGCTTCATACACATCCACGGAGGTAAGTTATATGGTATTAAAACTACAGGCCAAGTACTGTGTGTAGAACTCATGTTGTTGAATGGATTAAACCCGTCAGATGCCAACCCCGATCTAACATTTCGACAATCCTTAGCAAATTCTGGATGTAGATGGTCAAAAGTTTGCCAAGCTGGAGAATCAGCTGGATGTCTCATACAACCATCTTTTGTACGTTTTTCCTCATGCCATCTCATTTGAGATGCAATTTTAGAAGACATAAATAGTCTTTGTAATCTAGGTTTTAAGGGAAAATGCCACAACACTTTTTGAGGAATTTTCCTTTTTTCCCCAGTTGGATCATTTTCTGAAGCAACCCACCTAAGCTCGTTACATGTTTCGCATGAAGTCCTTTTCTCAGCACTACCCCAATAAAGAGAACAATCATTAGGACATGCATCGATCTTTTCATAACCCAACCCCAATGTATTCATCAATTTCTCAGCCTCATAGTAAGAAGACGGCAAATTAGTCATGGCCTCTGGAAATGCTTCTCTCAACAGCTCAACAAGCATATTAAAAATCTTGTTACTCATCTTACCCAGGCATTTTAGGTGAAGCAAACGAATAATGAAAGACAATTTCGAGAAATTTTTGCAACCCCTGTACAAATCCTGTTGAGAATCATCAATCAATTTGTAAAATTTTTCAGCCTCTGAAACAGGAATGTCCCCTTCTCTATTCAATTCATTTGTTCCATGTGGTATCCCAAATACATCATGGACCAAGTCTTGCATGTCATTAGTCCCATTTGAAACCCCAGTTGATGTATTTTCAGAATTAGATGTGGCTTCATTGTAGTTTGAAAGTTCTCCATGTGCTATCCAATTATTATAACCCTTGATAAATCCTACCACTTTCAAATGATCATATGCTTCCATTTTTGTCACACAAACACCCATGCCGCAATCTTTGCAAGGACACAAAATCTTTCCGTCACAACTTGATCTAGAAAATGCAAAGTTTAGAAACATTTGAAGTCCTGTCTCGTACTTTTCACTTGTTCTTGGAAAATCCATCCATCTTTTATCCATACTTTGAATATAAATAAATGTCCTCCAACAAGCTTCCAAGAGCATGCAAACAACAACTACACATTAGTACTTAGAAAACTAGACAAATCCCATAAAATCATTGAGAATAACAAGCGCCCTGATTTTTTAAACTCAGGCCATGGCTTACAAGTCCCTAATTTCAAGTTCAAGAATTTACAGTCTACTAAATAAAGCAGCCCAGCAAATAAAGGAAATCAACAAAATGCAAAATTTCTCAACAATCTGTAAAAACAGAATTTGCAAGCAAGCGGATAGAAATTTTATTTACCTAATACCAGAACAAAGCCCTTCGTACCAACTCCTGCACTCGCGTCTTCGCAAAACTCCTAACTTCAATCTGAAATGTCAAAGGTTAAACAAACACATGAGCATGAAGACTAAAGGTGAAATTCAAGAATCTTACTAAATTTCCATCAAAGTATAGATACATCTCTGGTGTGTAGTGAAATGTGAAAGAAAGAAGAGAATCTATCTAGCTTTTTATTTTATACTCATAATCTTTTTTTGGTCCCAGGAGTACAATTTCATGCACATAATCATAAAAATCAAGTCAACTGTGGGAGCAGAAAAGGAAATTAAACATTCTCCTCATTGTTGATTCATTCCCTGATCAGCTGACTACATACAAGAAATAGAAGTCATGAAAACTTTGCCCAGCTCTTCCTCTTGATTATTGAGTGGAGTGCAAAATTTTTAGGACTTCTGGATTGAGGACTTTCCCGTATCAAAATTTGAAATTATCCTTCAGGTAACATCAATGAACATTACTGGAGGTAAAGAGAGAAGCAGGAAGAAACAGAGCTATGCCATTACTGGAATGCAGAAGCTCAAGCTATTTGTAGCAAAATGGAGCTATCGATTTCTATATGCAATGCACATTGGCTGCTAAGAGAAACCGTTAATGCACTTTGAACACCACAGAAAAGAAAATCATTTGGATGATAGGAAGAAAGAAACTTACAATTAAACATAAGAGAATGCATGCAGCAGCCCCAGGGAACAAAGCGTACCAAAAGTTGAGGCGATGCAGTTTAGGAGCATCAATGAACAACAGAGGTAAGCCGGCAGCTGCCATTAGTACATATGATGTCCCATTTTAGTACAAGAACAAGATTTGGCAGGCAAAGGCTACTGAGATTCATGAGTGTTTAGTTAGATACCAGGTGGATGTACTGCACGAGTGCAGATCATGAATGCTATGTCATCCTGAACTGGGAGGGGTGGAAGTTCAACAAGAAAATGGATAGGGGAAGAAAAAAAAGAAAAAAGACTAAAAAATACAATACAGTTTTACAACTATGTTTCATATATTAACATTAAAAGAGATTCACAGAAAAAAATGAAAAACAGGGGGGAATTGACATTTGATCGAACAGGTTATGGGCAACAGCTTCATTGTGTTTACCACTTCAATTTTGGAACAAGATATGCGCGCCTGAAGTATCTTCCCGCTTTCCCAATGTAGAGCTCCGTTCTTCAGCTTTTACTTCCTGCCTGCCCTTCCAGATGTCTTAGCCGAGGGATTTAAAGTTGAGGTTAGAAAAGATGAAGATGGTTGTTTGCGGAGATAGCTTCGATTGCTACCAACATTCTGGACTGGCCGAGAATGCTTGTATGCTGAGAGGTGAGAGAGATGAGAAGAAGAAAATTTTCACCAAGTCCTTTTGCCGGCAAAATGAAACTTCACAGTACTTCAGCAAGTGTTTTGGAGCCAAAATAAAACGATGTCGTTTTCTGTGTTTTTTCGTTTTTTTTTTTTTTGGTTCATCTCACAGTTTCCAGAGTGTCATCATAGGTAGCCTAAAGGCACATTATTATTTGTATATCATGATAAAATAAAAAAATTATAGTACATATTATTAAATTTATTAATAAGTGTCATGATATGTTTACTATAATGGCAGAAACCAGCAAATGTCCTTATAGACATGTCAGAAAAGGTCATTTTTGTTGTAGTGTGTTAGCCGCCATTCTTTCATTTTTGGCGGAGAACGACGAAGAGAGAAAATGGCAGAGAGAGAGAAACAACTTTGAAGCCTCGATTGGAAGGTGATTTGAAGTCCGATTGAGACGAAATTTTACACACGGGATCCTCTCGTCAAGCTCTACTTATCCACCGATTCAGATTTCGAATTTCCTCTTCGTTTGGTAACACCTTTCCAAACCCACTTCTTTGACAGTTATAGTTTTTGGGGGTGATTTTATAGCAGATTTGTTTGGTTGATATTGGTGCTATTATTGTCATCCGAATATTTCGGATAGACCTGTGCATTCTCATTATTGTGATAGTGGAGATTTTTTGACTGGACTAGGTCCCGTGATTTTTTCCAATTTGGATTTTTCACGTAAAAATTTTGGTGTCCTGTGCCTTTTATTTTTCTTGTATTTTATTATCACTGCTGGTATTATTACTTGGTGATTTGGTTTATTCCTATTTTAACTGGTACTTGGGGAAAGAGAAATTTGTCTTGGGCTAACTCTGATATTGTATGCTTGTACCGGTACCCCCTTTCCCAACAAGTGGTATCGGAGCAGTCAGGTTAGGCTGCTCAGTTGTACTAGTTAAAAATGGATGATTTGGATAGTGGTTGTATGATAAAATTAAATGCAACTAATTATTCGATTTGAAAGTCTAGAATGAAAGATTACTTGTATTGTAGAGATTTGTTTGAACCTGTTCTAGGGGATAAATGTAGACTAAGTGATATGAGTGATGAAAAATGGGCTAATATGCACAGGAAAACTGTTGGTAATATTAAAAAATGGATTGGTCAAAATATTTTTCAACATTTTGCTAATGACACCAGAGCTAATATATTATGGAAAAAGCTTGAGAGTATGTATGAAAGAAAGACCGGTTTAAACAAGGCTAGTTGTCTGAAGCAGATTACTCGAATGAGATATAAGGATGGGGAAAATATGACTGAACACTTGAGTAATTTTCAAGGATTGATAAACCAGACAACTACATTAAATTTGAATCTGGATGATAAAGTGCAGGCTTTATTATTATTTAGTTCACTACCGGATATTTGAGAAACCATGGTGGTCTCCATCAGCAATTTAGCTCCGAATGGTGTGTTGACCATGGCTATTGCAAAAGAGGTCATGATGAATGAAGAGTTCAGGAGGAAGGAACAAGGAATTATCTATGAGACCCAGGCCTTGGTGACAGAAAAGAAAGAAAGAAGAGGGAGAAGCAAAAGTAAAGGACCTCACAACAGGAATGACAAATCTAGAGGCAAGTCTGAGTTGCGGAAAAATATTGCATGTTATTATTGTAAGAAGAATGGGCATTATATGAAAGAATGCAGAATCCTAAAACGGGAACAAGCTGAGAAAAAGGGTAAGGCGAAGGAAAAAGGTAATGAAGAGACTACAACAGTTGTAGCAGCTCATGATGACATGTTTGTATTCTGTGATGATGGTCAGGTGAATATTATTTATTATGACAGTGATTGGGTAGTTGATTCGGGTGCATCCTACCATGTTACTCCTCACAGGCATTTCTTCTCAACCTACACCGAAGGAGATTTTGGATATGTTAGAATGGGAAATGAGGTCTCATGCAAAGTTGTTGGCATGTGAGACATATACTTGGACACAGATACCGGGTGCCAGCTGATATTGAGAAATATTCGACGTATCCCTGATATTTGCCTTAATCTTATCTCTACAGGAAAACTTGACAATGAGGGCAATTATAGTTCGCAAGGTGGAGGCAAATGGAAACTCAGCAAAGGAAATCTCGTTGTTGCCAGAGGAAAGAAGCATAGTACCCTCTACGTGATGCAAGCTAAGTTGAGGAAGGGAGAAGTGAATACAGTTCGTGATTCCTCAATTGACCTTTGGCATAGGTGACTTGGGCACATGGGTGAAAAAGGGATTCAGACACTTGTTCGCAAACAACTCCTACCTGAAATTAGAGGTAGTGCACTTAAAACCCTATGTTGACTGCATTTATGGAAAACAACACAGAGTTGCATTTCAAAATTTTTCTCCATCTAGAAAATTGAATCCGTTAGAATTGGTGCACACTGATGTTTGTTATATGAAAGATAAGTCTCTTGGTGGTGTTGTTTATTTTGTAACTTTTATTGATGACTTTGCTAGAAAGGTTTGATGTTTTGCTTTGAAATCCAAAGATCAGGTTTTGAATGTGTTTAAAGACTTTCATAGCAAAGTCCAAAGAGAAACTAGTAAACAGTTAAAGTGTGTACGTGCTGATAATGTGGTGAGTACAGAGGACCATTTGAAATCTATTGCAAGTCCCATGGGATCAGATTGGAGAAGAGTGTGCCAAAAACTCCTCAAGAGAATGGAGTGGCAGAGAGGATGAACAGATCCATCACTGAATGGGTCAAATGTATGCTCTCTAATGCTAAATTGCCAAAATCTTTTTGGGGTGAGGCAATAAGGACTGCAGTTGATTTGATTAATCTTTCTCCATTAGTTCCTCTAGATGGTGATATCCCAGAGAGGGTATGGATGGGAAAAGATGTGTCCTTTAAGCACTTGAGAGTTTTTGGTTGTCGGGCATTTGTTCATATCCCCAAAGATGAAAGGTCAAAACTTGATGTAAAATCAAAGCAGTGCATTTTCTTGGGTTATGGACATGAAAATTTTGGTTACAGGTTGTATGATCCTATTGAGAAGAAGGTGATCAGGAGCAGAGATGTTGTTTTCTTTGAAGATCAAACCATTGAAGACATTGATAAATGTGACAATTCAAAATCCTCAGATGACATTCCTGCAAGCTCAAATTCAGATCCAGATCCAATTCCAGTACCTGTTGATTTTAATCAAGGGGGAGCTGAGACAGAGCAGAGAGAGGATATTGATGATGG